ACAACAGGATTGATGCACGTAAGAGAACTCGGAGACTGTGTCAGTAAACGCAGGACCTGCACAGGTCCCAGCCTGATGGGCTCATAAGGGGGAGAAGTGCATACGGGGTCCCACCCCTAACCAAGAAGCTATCTGTATCTGATACCCACTGACAAGGAGAAAATCAGTTTTCTCCAATGGAGTCTCACTGTGTGTCAACCACACTCCAGGGTAGGCCACATGCCCAAGAGCAGTTGGTGGACACAAAACTAACTCAGCGGTATTTCTGTGGACTTTTTGTTTCATTTTGCTTTGTTTTGGCAATGGTCTTTGGCTTGTTTGTTTTGATTTTCATTTTTGTGGATTTTTTTGTTTTTGAAAGATAGAAAAATAACAAAAGGGGGGGTAGGGAAACTGGAGGATCTGGGAGGAATTCAGGGAGGGGAAAACATGACCAAAATATGTAGTATTTAAACAATTAATAAAACAATAATAAAGCCAGATTCTCCTTTATACTAGATCTGACAGGCCTGGAACTCACTATGTAGACCAGGCTAGCCTCCAACACAGTGATCTAATTGTCTTCACTTCCTGAATGCTGGGATGAATTCAGAGTAATACAGGCAGAGAGATGGCTAAGCAGTTAAGAACACTGGCTGCTCTTCCAGAGGTCCTGAGTTCAATTCCCAGTAACCACATGATGGCTCACAACCATCTGTAGTGAGATCTGGCACCCTCTTCTGGCATGCAGGTGTACATGCAGACAGTGTACTCATAACTAATTAATTAATTAAAACTTCAAAGAAAGCTAGAAAAAAAAGTGATACAGGGTCTCATGTAGCTCCCTATGTGTTTTGGGTTACCTTGAACTTCTGATCCTCTACACTTCCTGAGGGCTGCGATTTCAGGCATGAGTTTCTTCTTTTTTTTAAACAGGGATTTTCTGTGTAGTACTGACTGTCCAGGAACCCATTCTGTAGAGCAGACTGGCCTCAAACTCAGAGATCCACCTGCCTCTGCCTCCTGAACGCTGGGATTACCCAGACTGCTGGGATTGAAGGTGTGCACCAGCACTGCCCAGCGTCTCAGGCTTGTGCTTTACGCCCAGTTAATGTGGTGCTAGGTATGAAAACCCAGGGCTCTGTGCACGCTAGATGAGCATGCTAGGAACCAGGCCACATTCCTAGCCCTTTGTTTTTGTGGTTTTAAATTGAAGTAAGAAAAATAAAGTCTACTATCTTTGAAACTTTTTTTTGTGGTGGGGGGAAGGTGATGGTGAACTGTGCTGAAGATCAGACCCAGGGCTTCATACACGTTAGACATTTGATGGGACCCGAAGCCTCACTAATCATGGCATCAAGATGCTCCTCACCTGGACTTTTTCTTCATCAAGGGAGCCGATCATGCCATCCTTCTCTGTTAGCGAAGCTATCTTTGTACCCATCGGTCATGTTCAAAGCTCTCGAACTCCCCAGTCTGTGCCTGGGCATGCCTGGCAAACACACTGGACGTTGTACTCCGAGAGCTTTGCCTTGCCCTCAGGCTCTACTTGAGAGTCATTAGGTCCCATCACAGCCTTCATAGCCACACACAGCTTCTCCTCTCCAAGCTTTTGAATCTGAAAATCCCCTCTGGATTTCAGCTCCTACCTCCTTCAGAGATAGACCTCATTATGTAGCCCAGGCTGTCCTCAAAGAATCTTGTCTTGGCCTTCTGAATGCTGGGTTTACAGGGGTGTGTCATCACTCCTGGCTCCATGATTTCCTTTAAAGTTTATGGTGTGCCCTTAACTATACAGCTTTAGCCTTTCTTGTATTTAGTCTTGGACCTCTGGGTATATGTTATCTTTATAATCGGACTGGAAATGGGACATTTTTGTCATTTCCCAAATATAGGGCAACATGACAGTAGTCCTCCTCTCAAATCAGAGTCAATATATTTTGAAAAAAAAAGATGTAAAACTTCTTGGGACCCTGGTGAATAGGGAGTTGATATCTGGCTTGGTCACTGGTTTTTGTTTTTTGTTTATTTTTTTAAATTTATTTTTGTTTGTTTGTCTGGCTTTGGCCAGAGAGGACATAAGAGAACTCAGGCCAAAGAGATGGCTCAGAGGTTAAGAGCACTGGCTCCTCTTCCAGAGGTCCTGAGTTCAATTCCTAGCACCCACATGTCCGATTATAAAGATTCTTTGAGGACAGCCTGGGCTACATAATGAGGTCTATCTCTGAAGACCTAGGACTGGAGGTGTTGTACACTTGAGTAGTGTTAAATATAGTCACACTGTTATAAAATAAGGACTGTAGGAGACTACCGACAGCTGAGACATGTTGAGAGACTGAAGGACCGCAGATGGGATGACGGGTTTAGGAAGACTGATTTAGAAGGCCGGGGCAGAAGGAGGTAGGAGCTGAAATCCACCACCCGCGCACCATGCCGCGACAGCGCCCCCGTGTGTCGGGAGGCCGCTCAGCAGGCCGCGGGCTGCCTCGGAGACTTCACCGTGCCCAGGAGCGCGCAGGCTCGCCCTGGCTGGTGCACACATCAGGTTTCCTGTGGTTTCCGTTGCCCTGAGGGTGGGAAGTTTCCGGACAGGGAGATGCCTACTGAGCCGTCTCCTGTGCTAACATTGAGGGTAGGTTTCTTCCCTAGAGCGTTTGGCTTCGAATCAGGGACAGCAAATCCATGTTCAAGTGGTGGCCTCCCGACACACGGGGGCGCTGTCGCGGCACGGTGCGCGCGCGGGGGGCGTGGGGGTGGCGGCGGCGGGGGAAGCGAGCCGCTGACTTAGCGTCGCGAGATTGTGAAAGCCGGAAGGGCGGAAGAGCCAGGGTCACGTCGACAGCGCTCCCCGCCCCGCTCGCGTAAGTTCTCGCGCGAGCTCTACTTCCGCCCTTTTGGCTCTCCCCGCAGCACCATGGCGGTCGGCAAGAACAAGCGCCTGACGAAAGGCGGCAAGAAGGGCGCCAAGAAGAAAGTGTGAGTGGCGGATTCTGCGGGGCGCCGGCCTCTGGGTCCCGCAGGAGGTGGTGGGCAGGGGCTAGGCTGCAGCGGGGGCGCGGATGGGGCCGATGCGGGGCGGATTGCGCGGCGACGCCGCTGGCCGGTGCGCTCCGGACGGACGGACGCCCGGCCGCCTCTCCCCGCCTCGGCCGGGTGTGAGCCGGGCTTCCGTCGCCGAGACCGCGTGCTGCGCACGGTGGGCTCCCGGGTGGCTTGCAGCCCGCGGCGCTTTGAATGCCCCGAACGCTCGGCAGTCACTCCGGTTGTCCATCTGCACGGGACCCCACGTCACTCCCCGTGCTGGGACCTCGTGCAGCCCGGGAGCTCCTGGCACTCGGTTACCCCTGGGTCCTGTTGGGGACTAGTTAGCATCACGAGAGCTTCAGGTTCCGAGCAAGTGTGTGCTCCTGCCTGTGGAGCGGAGGAGGCATGGCCCCCAACTTACCGGTTTGTCCCGGTGACGGACGAGCCAGCCGTGCGGACGCTCCCCGCACGGCGAGGGGCGTCCTTCTGTGTTAAACGCAAGGCAGGCTTAAGATTCTGCCCGGGACATGATATGTCGGCAGAAGTATTGAGGCTAAGGGACGTTTAAAGTTGGCAGTCGTAATCTTAGGATTCGCCAAGAAGCTTGAGCTTCTGCCTCTTTTCTCTCAAATCCAGGGTTGATCCATTTTCGAAGAAAGATTGGTATGATGTGAAAGCTCCGGCGATGTTCAATATTAGAAACATTGGAAAGACACTAGTCACGAGGACTCAAGGAACCAGTGAGTACTGTATGATTGTTTTGCTTGGTCCTCAACCTACTGCATGTGTCCTGTGAGAGTCTGCATGTGTCCTAGGATGGGAAAATCAGCCCAGTGGTTTCAGGCTTGGCATGTGGGGTGCTAGTTTTTCATACATTGTGGCAGCAAGGAGGTGCTTTTAGAATTTAACCAAGAAAATGTTTGGTTGGGTATTGCCAGTAAGTCACTGGTGTCTAGGTGGATTTTTTTTGTAACAAGTTAACAGGATCTTTGGTTCTTTTGTAGAAATCGCATCTGATGGCCTCAAGGGTCGTGTGTTTGAAGTGAGCCTTGCTGATCTACAGAATGACGAAGTTGCGTTTAGGAAATTCAAGCTAATTACTGAGGATGTTCAGGGCAAAAACTGTCTGACTAACTTCCATGGCATGGATCTTACCCGGGACAAAATGTGTTCCATGGTTAAAAAGTGGCAGGTGAGACCCTAGCCTTCATTTGAGCGTGTAGTGCGTGTGGTGTGATTGGAAGGATCGAAACATGGAATGGAGAGTTGGACTTCATTTCAAACCTTGGATTGTTTTCTTGGTATTAAGCACCAGCCCACAGTTGGGTCCTCTTGTGTTTATATGTCAGTGAAGTAAGTCATAATTTTTTCTTAAACTTCAAGAATGAATAGTTGTATTTTTCCCATGCTGTTTATATATTGTTAAGTAGCTCCTAGATGGAAAACTGCTAGCAGAGCTGATGAAATAGTGTTTTTCACCCACTTGTCTGAGTTCTTCCTCTGAACTCCCCTGCCCTTGTGACTGACAACATTTTAAATTGTGGCCAAGATGCTGTGTATCGTTGGGTGCTGGGGGTAGAACTATGGCTTTCCGAATAGTGAGCTACGTCCCCTGGCCCAATATTTACTTGTTAAAGGACACACAGGTAGGGGGCAGCTTTGCCAGTTTAGAGACTATTTTAGGGCTGCCATCTGAGTTGATAGTGAAAAGGTGGCTCTAGCTCATTTGATTGTCTCTGATGGTGAAGTGTAACAGTGCAGAGCTGCTGGTGTGGGGCTAATGTCATTCGGTCCCCATTTATTTTGTCCTTGGACAGTAACAAGCTTACTTAGCAGCTTGATTTCTTTATTGTAAAAGCTATTGAGTTGTGAAGATGAGATAACTGATGCAGGTGATTGAGCTTTATCTCAGGGACTAACAAATCAATAACCATATCGATTCAGGAAATGACCATCCAGATGTGTCCAGGTAACAGGATTGGCAAATTGTATATGGGAATGGATGATGACAAAATGTTTCGGTCCCAAATGAAACACCCTGATTTTACCGTTACGTTCTGACATTCCCTTACAGACTATGCAGTTTAAGTATTGGTCCATTCTTTTTGCAGTGGAAGTCAAGTTTTTTTTTTGTTTTTTTTTTTTTTTTTTTTTTTTTTTTTTTTTTTTTTTTTTTTTTTTTTTTTTTTGAGACAGGGTCTAACTGCTGCCCAGGCTGGCCTCAAACTCACAAAGAGAACCTTGCTTCTGCCTCCTGAGTGCTGGGATTGAAGGTGTGTGCCACCACTCATGGCCGATACTAGGTATGTTTTAAAACTCAAGGTATATAATTTATAAAATGCAAAGAGATCAAATCATTTTGCCACTAAAATGACCCTTTAAAAGATGGAAATATGGTCCAATTATGATTTTTAATTTTAATATGGAGCTAGCTGTGGGATTATATGTCCTTGGCATGGCTTTAGTTTGGAATAAAAGGGATTAAAAATGCTCTTACAGCAGAAGTTTTACCTTTTTCCTTTGGAGAAAGGATCTCCAGCCTGTTATGGTGTGGTGCTTGCTATGTAGACCAAGCTGGCCTTGAACTTATGATTTGCCTTTGTATCCTGAGTGAAGGATTACAGATAATGTGTCATTGTACCTGGCCTATTTTGTCAGTGGTTTTTTTTTTTTCCTTCCCTCTCTGAGACAGGGTCTTATTACTCTGTGTCCTTGACTGGGATGGAACTTGCTAAGTAGACCACGGTGGACTCAAACTCTTATTAGAGATCCAATCTCTTCTGCCTCCTGCTTGGAGTGCTGGGATTAAAGCTACCACACACAACCTTTTTTTTTTTTCTTCTTAAAAGATGAAAACAAATTCATGTGGTTTCAGCCTGTGTATGCTGTCTTAGAATTTGACTTCCAAAATTGTTCTTTTGGGGGGAGGGAGGTGTTGATAGATACAGAAGTAAAGGGTGAGATGACAGTAATCATTTAGAGAATGAATTTTGGGGTATCCTTAATTTCACTTTAAGGAAGTTGTGTAAACTAGATATTTATACTTTCTGTCACATAATGGGTTTGACATTTCAAGCTTTATGTTAGCATTTAAAGAATTGGTTGAGGCCCTAAAAACTGCTGCAAAGGTTGGTAGAGGTGGTGCACACAGACAGGGGAGGCTAGCCAGAGCTAGTAGTGAGACCCCGTCTCAGAAAAAAACAAACCATTAGAGCTTACAGTGTCCTTTTCTCCCTAGACCATGATTGAAGCTCATGTGGATGTCAAGACAACTGATGGTTATTTGCTCCGTCTGTTCTGTGTTGGTTTCACTAAAAAACGCAACAACCAGATACGCAAGACCTCTTATGCACAGCACCAGCAGGTCCGCCAGATCCGGAAGAAGATGATGGAAATCATGACCCGAGAAGTGCAGACAAATGACTTGAAGGAAGTGGTTAATAAATTGTAAGTGTTTTTTTTTTCCTCCTTTAAAAAACATCCTGAATGCCTGTTGAATCATCTTTCTGTAAGAGTAGGTGTATGTGGCAAGGTAGAATAGAGTTGGACATTAATTTAAATCACTGGTGGTTTTTTTTTTTTTTTTGGTTGAAGCTGTATTAACAGTGGATAGTGAAACATGTGTTGTTAGATATACAATAAATAGACAAAACTTTCATAATAATGTATGGGAATACATGATGAGAAAATGTTTCGGTCCCAGTTGATATACACTGATAACTGCTACATTTTTCTGATGTTCCCATGCAGAATACAAATGGCTAAGAGGATGTTATGTAAAAAAGGAGGGCGCTGATTTTGTTGCTAGATATTATAAACATCTTTAATTAGGATGCTTGTGTTACACATTAGATATTTTCTAAAGTTCTTTTTTTTTTTTTTTTTTTTTCAACGTAAAGAAAAGTGCTTATGTGAGAAACTACACTTTGGTGGATTTCTTGTTTGCTTGGTTGTTTTTTAAAAGTTTATTGGTCTTGCAGGATTCCAGACAGCATTGGGAAAGACATAGAAAAGGCTTGCCAGTCCATTTATCCTCTTCATGATGTCTTTGTTAGAAAAGTAAAAATGTTGAAGAAACCCAAGTTTGAATGTAAGTGAAAAATGAGGATTTACAAATACATCATTTTTTATAATGACTGATTAAAACTTCATAGATTGATAACAGCATATATAGGCACCATGTATATTCCTGGTGACTTGTGTCCAGAAGAGGGCTTCAGTTCCCCCGGGACTGGTGAACCCAGTTCCAATGCAAGAGCAAGTGCCAACTCTTCAGCTCTCTTCATGGAATTGTTTTGAGACAAGGTTTTGCTGTGTAGCCCTGTCCTGGCACTCTAAGGCTAGGCTGGCCTCTGCTGGGATTATATGTGCACTACCACCACCACTCAGCATTACATGTAAAATTTTAGAGCAAGATAATGGTCTGTTTTCTTGTGTATTTGTAGTGTGGAAGAGCATTGTTTTAGTTATGATACTTGTTTATAATAAGATTCTTTTTTTTCCTTTTAGTGGGAAAACTCATGGAGCTCCATGGTGAAGGTGGTAGTTCTGGAAAAGCTACTGGTGATGAGACAGGTGCTAAAGTTGAACGAGCGGATGGATATGAACCACCTGTCCAAGAATCTGTTTGAAATCCAGATTTCTAATAGTGACAAATAAAAGTCTTTATTTGTGATGATGATTTGCTTCTGAACATTGTTTTAAATAGGAAAGCTTGGTGAAGCAGGCATTATTTAATGTGACCGCTGAACTTGGGACCTTTTGTATGGGTTTTTAATCCAGTAAGTTGTTAGAAGGTGTGACGTACTTTAGTGATCTGGAAAAGTAATGAGACAGGGTCTCGCTGTATCTCTCTGGCCTCTAATAGATTGGGCTGCCTCTGCTTTAGGCATGTGCTCCACCACACCCGGCGAATGAAAAGAAAGCAGTAACTCCAAGGGTGCTTTGTAGACAGAAAGTTCTCTGGTCCTGCCTTGCCCTGCAGTTCGATCTCTCCCACCCTTGCTCCCACAGCCGATTATAAAATAATCACTCAGAGGCTTAATACTAGTATTAATTACGAACTGTATGGCCCAATCTTCTTGGTAGTTTGTGCTGCCACGTGTCTGGTGTTACTGGTCTGCTGACATCTTGTTGCTCCTTCAGTGGCAGGCTCATGTCTCTTACCCTTCTCTTCAGTTTGAATGTACCTCATAACCTTATTCTGCCCTGCCATTGGCCAACAGCTTTTTTTATCAACCAATCAGAGCAACACATTCACAGCATACAGAAAGACATCCTACAGCAGTGTTTCTTTTATCTGTTAAAGGCTTATGTAGGTAGGCTTTTGTAGCATGGCAGTGTTACTCCTTAGCATTTGCTGGGTCTGGGTTATTTGTTCTATTTGGTGGAGGACATCTCATGACAAGCTGGAGACCTTGCCTTAATTTTTTGGACTTCTTTTTAAACATAAAAACAGGTTATAATTCAAAAGTCCAGGGTTAAACAGTAAAATATTTTCTCTGTAGAAAGTAATATAAATGATAACATTTCCCAATAAGCCCTTTTAAGCCAAATGATAGCTGAATTATACATATTGATTAGATTCTGGGGATACAGACGAACCTATCTTCATCTGTTCAGAGAGCTATGTTTTACTTAAGTTGTGTAAGTGAGATTCCTATTCATCTTCCCCTTCATGGTTTGATTTACGGCAGACATTCTTCTATAGGCTAATGGATGGTTCTTAAGCCATTTGGTTTGTTGGGTTCCACCCTCAAGTCTTTGGTCCGAGTAGTTCTAAGTTCTCAGGCAGTGCTGATGGTCTGGAGACTACAACAGTTGGTGAGCTTCCAGGCTGAATACTTGAGTTTTTAGGGTTTTGTGATGCTTAGGGAGCATCCAGATCTCAGGCCTTAAACATGCCAGGTAAGTTCTCTGCTGTTGACCACTTTTTTCCCCTCCAAAGAAAGGGTTTTTCTGTAGCCCTGTCCTGGAACTCTAGTCCAGGCTGGCCTCAAACTCAAGAGATCTGCCTGCTTCTGCCTACCCAGTATTAGGATTAAAGACATGCGGCCTGGCCATTTTTTTTTTTTTTTTAATGTGCTATATTTAGGATTTCCCACCATGCCATTCCAGAAAGTTAGTTAGGATTCATGGGGGTCCCTTGATTTTCTGTAGACAACTCAGTTTCTTAATTTTCATTAAGTAGGGCCCTCCCCCACTTTTAGCCTATGTCTTTGCAAGGTAAAGTATTACCAGATTGTACCCTCTGGGCATTTTATATTTGACACCCTAAAATGGTCTTTTGTTTGCAGTATTAACGCGTGCCTTGGACATGGTAGCAAGCAAATACTATCACAACTATTTTTCCAGCCCTTAAGTGTGAGTTGACAGGGTCTTAGTATATGTAGCTCAGGCAAGCCTACTTTTTCCTAAAAGATTTATTTATTATGTATATAGTGTATAGATGGTTGTGGCCCACCATCTGGTTGCTGGGAATTGAGCTTAGGACAGTGCACTTAACCTCTAAGTTATCTCTCTAGCCCATGAAAATATTTTCTTTTCTTTTTTTTTTTTTTTCCAGACAGGGTCTCTGTAGTTTTGGTGCCTGTCCTGGATCTCTGTAGATCAGGCTGGCCTCAAACTCACAGAGATCTTCCTGGCTCTGCCTCCTGAGTGCTGGGATTAAAGGCCACCGCCACCCGGCAAGCTTACTTACATAATAAATCTTTTGAGTAATGATTTGGGTAGCACCCTAAAGGGCTCATTTGGAAAGGCACAAAGGAGTTAAGGGTTGGGCCAGGAGCTCAAGGTGGCTCAGCTGTTAAGAGCACTTGCTGCTGGTGGCAGAGGGACTTAGGTTCAGTTCTTAGTACCCACAATGTGGCCCAACTGTCCAAAATTCAAGTTCAAGGGCATCCCACACCCTTTTCTGGTCTCTAGGCACCAGGCATTCATGTAGTGCACATACATGTAAATAAATGGTTTGGCCTGTTTAGTTAAAATTTAAGCCTACCTATAGGCCACCTTGAAAGTCTTACAACGAGTGCCTCCATGGGGCAAATGGAAACTTACCTTGAATAT